TTGTTTTCAATGCTTCCTACCAAAACCTACCAAACTACCTACTTGAGAACTTTGTTAAACAGCAGGCTTTCTCCATCAGATAGCTACAGATAAACTAATACTGGAAAAAAATTTAAATTTACCAAAATTTATTTTTTTAATCAAAAGACAGCCATAGTTTCTGAGTGCGAAACTCAGAAGTTTCTGAGTACCAAAGAATCTTTATCAGTAGCGGATATAGGAGTAGGGAGGGGGGGGGGGAGACTGAATCATCAAAAGTTCTCCCCTTAGGTACTTTTCTAAGACTTCCATTTTTGGCCGGCTGAAATTTTTCTCGCGCCGAAAAAGTGGAAGTCTGCGCCAAAAAGAACACAATTTTTTGGTCAAAACTGTCTAAAGGGTCTAAAAACGTTTTTTCAAAAGTTTGTCTGCGGCGCTAAAAATTTGACCAAAACAGAGTCTTTTTAGCAGGGGCGGATCGTCAAAAAATGGATATCTCAAAATAGTACAGAAGGGGGACCCTTTGGGTCGGCAGGGGTTCGAATCCCTGAAGGAGGGGGCGTCCGCTTCCCGCCCCCTTAATCTGTTGATGCTTTCAACTGATTTGGAAGAGCTCGCAAAATCAATTTGCTCGACCTAAAAAAAAGGTCGACAAAATTTTTGAAATTTTTTGAAAATCCCTCTCCCCATTCGAGAAAACACTAGATTCACCCTGAACCTTATTTGAACTTAAGGTTCTTTAATTGAATTCTAATCTTGATATTTGTAAAGCTTCGTGAGAAAAAATTAAGCTTACCGAGAAACAAAACCGGGAGGTCAATTTTTTTTTAGCAGCTATTTGGCTTTCAATGTTGAATCGCTTTTGCTCAAAAGTCAGTTTGTTTTAACGTTTCTAGAACCAAATCACGGTTTACAAACATTGACAGTCTCCGAAAAATCTTAGTTTTCTTCCGGGATATCAATACTTGAGTATCCCCTCAGCAAAAAAAAAACGAGCACGGAGCAAAACGGTCCTGGGATAAAAAAAACTCTCAATTGTAAAAAGACGGCTGGTCGGCTGTTACATCAAGGTGTACTTGGGAAAACATTAAAAGCCCTACAAAATAGTTGGTTCGATTTTGAACGTCCGTTTCTGCAAACCGGAAGCAGAAAAAAAATACAAATTCAGACAAAAAAATTGTCTGATAAGTATTGTGGCTTCACGATTATTCGTACCACATCTCAACACTAAATAACAATAATGACGTATTTGATATCCCCAACAAGGTTTTCTATTAAAATTATTTTTATCATACAAAGATGAGTGGGGTGAAAAATCAATCCATCTGTTAATGACAGACAGACAGCAAGCATCATCACATCAATTTGAGAGATGATTTGTATCCAAAGCAGGTGGCACGGAGTGAATAAAAACAGAAAATCCCTCATAAATCAAACAAAAGGGCACAAAAGGCTGAAACTAAGATCTCTTTTTTCATCGCGAAAACTATTGGAGCTCTGAGCCTCCATCAAAGAAACGAGAACAACCACAACAATAGCGAAAACAGATCAAATCTCTATCTTATTTCTTGTGAACTTCAGTTCAATAGAAATAAAATAAAGGTCATTTCAAAATAGAAAAGGATGAAAATCAAAGTGCATTTGCAGTAACATTTCAGCAATTTCTTTTCTGTCCGAAAAAGTTCAAGATGTATTACGTTTTGATGCAGTCAGTTAATTACAAAAAATTTAAACAATTTTGTGATCAAATTTTGCAGCAAAAACTAGCAGGTCGTATGTGATAAATTCAGGTCAAAACAGTACATTTTCAAAAGGAGCCATTTAAATTTAGTCGCTTACAAATCTCAATCATCGAAACCTATAAAGGTCACTTTATATAATGCTACATATAAGTGTGGAAACTGGAAAAATGAACAAAAGGACGACATGATATCATAAAAAATTTTGGTGGCTGTGATCCCCCTCGCTAAAACATGAGATCCGCCCCTGGTCGCAGCACATCACGATTCACTTTCACTTTTAAGTGAACTGTCTATTGAAAAAATGATATATTTATAGCTCCAATAGCAAAAATAAAAGCTTTGATGCACGGCTACTACAGGGCAGAAACATCCTGAAATAAACAAAAGATGAAACGAAAAACCATCTGCGTTGGTGTGGTTTAGAATGAAAATGACTTCTACCATTGTGCTACATTGTATTAATATAAGATACAGTGTGAACGATATAACGTCATTTCTGGTAGAAAAGGGTTCGAAAACCAAAACTGAAGCAGCATCAAATAAATACAAAAATAATGTAGGCATGGCTTATGACGTTGGTCAAATATTATGTCGAGACTGTCTTTTTCGTCACAGTTGACCCATTTTTAAAGAAAAATTTGTAAACTTCAGAGATCAAACAGTTGGAGAAGTCTCAAGGAACACAAGGAGCTCTTAAAATTATTTGGAAGGATCGTATACTTATCGTTATTAGAAATTTTCTGTTGGCATAGGTAATCCGGCGCACAGACAATTCAACTTGAGACTATTCAGCCAGTTTAACAAAACGCTAGATTCGAAAGAAAAAAAATCGGAATTGGAGTTATTTCTCGGCTTGTGGTCGCCGGTGGGTATACGAAATTTAAACAACCGGCTCTAAGTTTCGTATAGAGTCCTACCCTCTATTGGCAAGCTCGCAACACGTTGGAGCGACTGCGGCGGTCACTATTATTGGCTGAATTGTCTGCATACTTTTGGCTGAATTGTTTGAATTTCAAATCGGCTGAATTGTCTTTGGCCGATTTGTCTGGACGCAGTTAACCCACCCTTGAAAAAGCTAATCACAACGCATTTTATTCTTTCTGTTCACGGTTATATCAACTTAAGCGCTCAATATTTTATTCTGAGAAATATTTTAAAATGTATGCTACATATCGCCAGTTCATGAAAAAAAAGAATCAAAAAATTTAGGAGGCAGACCATCAATTAAACATTAAAAAAATGAAATAGCTTTTCAAGCAACCAAAACTGAGTACGATTTCTAATTGATTTACAAAATGGGTAGTTTATATAGTGCATTTAGACATTTTTTTGGTACATTTTGACTAAATATGAATCAAAAATAGCCGACTGGGGTGCAAATTTTACAGGCTCGTCCGACAACATTCATAAAAAAAATTCGACAATATTTTTCTTTCAAATTGCGGTTATTTTTTTGCGTTATGTGATGGGAAAAGAAAAAAAACCGTGAAAATTACTGAATTAGGCACAACTGGCAGCAGTTGACTCCGGAAGCGGAACCACGAATAAGACAATAACTTTAGAAAATTTAAATTTTTTTGACGAAAATGTTCTAAACTTTCTAAAACAATTCAATACCGAAAAAGCGATTACAGAAGCTTCCAAAACTACTTTTTTAAGATTCAAGATTAATTTTTTTCACTACAAAAATGAACAAATGTCTTTTACAAGACTTACTTACTCGCTCGCTTAACTCGCTTAAAATTAGACAAGAACTCAAAACTTCCAAAGCTTTTTTTTCTCGACACCGGGATATTTTTTGAAAAAGACTGAAAAAGTTCTTAAAATGATACAACACTCAACCCATTCTGATGATAACTTATGGTACCTGATTTCGCGTTCAACCTTTCCAAATGCAAAAATTTTCAATATGATATAACACTCAACCCATTCTGATGATAATTTGTGGTTCCTGATTTGGCGTTCAATTCTTCCGAATGTAAAAGTTTTTAATATGATATATCTATCAATCCATTTTGATGATATTTTGTGGTGCCTGATTTCGCGTTAAATCTTTCGCGTTCAAGCTACACTAAGGAACAAAATTAAGCGCAAACTCTGAATTTTTCTGTCTGAAGTGCCTGTTTTCAATGTCCAGTTTGGACAAAATTTTTTTCGAAATTCAGTAAAAGTTTTAGACATACCAAGAGCAAATGATCAAAGCTACCCTCTATGAAACGATCAAAATTTGTTCTCAAAGATCAATGTAATGCGGGTCTGAAAATTTCAGACTTACTCATCTGCACTAAAATATTCAATTTGCGTGAAAAAACAAAAAAGAGCCTAGTTTAGTAAAATTTTCTCACTGATTATTTCAAATTTCTCGTTGAGAATGTTTCACGTCAGATAAACAAACTTTTTACTTCGATAAGAGTTCACTACGATACAAAATTCAGTGCAGGTAAATAAATCTGGAATTTTCAGACTCGGATTATATTGGTTAGTCTTTGACACCAAAAAATGATAGTTTCATAGAGGGTAGCTCTGATCATTTGCTCTTGTTCTACATAAAATTTTACTGACTTTCGAAGGGAATGATGTCCAAAATAGACATCGAAAACAGGCATTCTAGAAATAAAAAATTGAATTTGTGCTTACATTTTTCCACTAGTTTATTTCGCTCAATATCTCCGAGAAAAACGTGATGTACTTGAAGCAAAAAGTATTTACAGGTCAAAAAGTTAGCAAAGTTTGGTTTATCAAAAAACAAGCTCATTGTTCATGCATGATCGAGAAGTTTTTATCGTCATATCACACTTGATCCGCTTTATCTGAAATCGCGGAGTTCTTTCAGGGTGATAGTATCTCCTGTTCGAATGTGCTAGGACTAGTGATGCCCATTGAGAAATTCAAAATGAACTATTTTATGTTTTCATTCAAATGTAATTCAAATTCAATTAATTACAATTCAAGTCAAATTGTTTAAAATATCAACTCAAGTCTAAAATTAGCTATGCTCGGTGTGACACCTCCCACCAAGTAAAAACTGAGTTGAGAAAAAATTAAATAATTGAAAACAATATGTAACAATTTAAATAAGAACTAAATTAACACCAAAAAAGTGTTAAGGCGTTAAAAAAGGCTCAAAACAATTGTTTTATTCGTAATTGGATATCTCTGATGAAAAACAAAAAATTAATGGCTACTTGGACGATGCTTCAATATTGATTGAGAGGCTCCGCAATACTTTTTAATGAGTAAATAATTTCGATTTTTTTTGTCTAAAAGCAGTTTTCTTACCCCTCTTCTTTGGAATTTGGAACGGGGGAGCCTGTTTGTTGTCCCCTTGCACACCTGTGACCGAACTCACATCAAAGTAACTCAATCGCCTCTGGGCCATCCCGCCCAAAGAAGAAATCAAACTTGATGGCGACAGAGACGAAGATGCAACCCCACCTCCTATGACGTCATTGCTGTTCTGGCAGGGGAAAGGAGAGGGCGTGGGGGAGGGGGAGTTAGCTATGTTGCGACTGGGGGGAGTAACACTTTGAAGGGGAAGGGCGTTGGCTGCGAGAGAATAGCGACGATTTGCCCGGTTGCTCATAGTTGTAACACGCCACCGACTTCAGTTCTCACGTCAAGTAAATTCGGAAACTGAACTGATCAAAATTAACCGATTTGCAAATTAACCGAAATAGTCGAAGAGCTGTTTAATTCTAAAAGAAAATCTGCATATAAATGAGCATTGTGTCGATAAATAATTTCGAGAAGGTAAGTTATTCTAAAACCCAAATTTTTAAGCAATATATGTTAATGATGTTTTTTTGAAGCTTTCAGAATTTTAAGTTTTTTAATGAACTGAATTGATGGTTAGTAAAGATAAAATCGGCAAAAAACGCTGGAAGATTCAATTATAAGAATAAGAAATTTTCAATTATGAAAAAGACCCCAAAATATTGCCTGTCAAGCTGCTGAAACTTCAATGAAATTTGCTTAAATAAATAAAATCTAGCGCGATAAAAAAAACGAGCACAATTAAATCAAATAGTTACCTGATTTCCTACAGGTATGGACAAAACTAATGACCTTATAAGAGTTTAGCAAAGGAAAATTTTTGAAAAAAAAAATAGAAAAAAAATTGAAAGTTCACCGTGTTTTTGGCGTTTTACCGAAAATCGAGAGAAAAGAGTAATTCTAATTAAAATTGACAAAGGCTAAAGGTGAATATGTGTCGAGTATCAAACGAATTGTTCGCTGGTAAGGGAATTTGTAAGAGTAAAAAATACTAAAAGAAGACAAGAGGATGACCAAATTGTACTGACGCAATTTATTTTCTCATTTTCAGGCGAATTGAAACCACGTGTTTCACATTTACAATCGAAACAATAAAATTTTTGCGTAATCATAAAGATAAAAATCCCTTTTTTTGAAATTTTGAAGTTACGCGTAATATATTATAGCGTCCGGGAAACTAAACAAAAAATATCTGTAGAAAAATAATCAAAATCTTTTACAGCAAATTGCAAAAAGAGAAAAAATGATATCCTCTGACGCGCAATTTTTTTCAACTCCTCCTTCTGCTGTACTGTTTCGCTTCCAATTTTCATTTTTTTAAAAAAAAAAGGAATTAAAGTAGGAATTAAAAAAGTTATTCCCAGAATAAAAGCCGAGCTACATATATTTCTACATATACTTAATACTGATTCGAAAAACTGATTTACAACAAATTGCCCCTCACCCCTCGCTAAGCCATCACTTCTATAAAGTGTGTCAATGCGCCATTAAAAGCAAACATATCATCTTCTGCTTGGTATGAAAATAGGGTGGTACAGATCTCTCCCGTTGGTACAAAATGGAAACGAAGGCAATTGTGATAATCTTTTTTCAATTATTTCAATTTCTAATTTGATTTTAAAGCTTTTTGAAGGTTACTAAAAGAAGGACTTTGTATTCATATGTATAGAGCTGCAGTCACTTTGTGTAAACTGTCAAAGAAATTACCGCTAAAAGAAGATTAGAAAAGCTTGAGAACAAAAGTAATCAGCTCACATCAAGCAAAAAGAAAACAAATTCAACCAAATCATAACGAAATAAATCTCCAAACGAAAAAAAAACTAAGAAGCATTAAAATGCGTACAAAAGTGCATGGAAATAGTCCGACGAATTAAAATGATTGAAAAAATTAACTCTCCAAATTTTCAAAGAAAAATTGGCTGATAGCAATTTTCATTCAATGATTCAAAATGCCTTTTGAAATTCAAACAAGCAGCAGATTTCTTTAAAAATGGTTTTCAGAGACTAAAACATTTTTGCGGTTAGGTTATATCTATCTATTCTTTTTTAAGAGCCCTGCTATATTTTCAGCAATGCCGACCTGTTAGCTCGCAATCACTAAAAAGCACGAACTTCATTTTGTAACAATGAGATCATATACATTTTTAAAATCATTACAATTATTATTTCAAATGAAAATCAATAATGCAGAAATTTTTGTACAAATTGACAATAACCCAAAAAGTTTGAGGAAAGAGTACCTGAAAAAATGTCTAGAAATCCCATCTGACTAATTGGAATATTGGCGTCATCCAAAAGACTACTGCCGATAACTGCCGAAATTATTTGATGAAAAATGTGATGATGTAATTACCGCAACAATACAAATAACAAAAAGTTTTGTTGTTTTTTTTAGCTTTCAGTTACAATAGCTTATTGAATTGGTAAATCGAAAACTTTTTAGCTTTTTTTAACCAAGGCTAGGTTAATTGGGATAATTAAATGAATGAATGAACACGGCAAAAAAGTTGCGTCAGAGAAACATAAAGAGATGAAAATTTCAAAAAAGCGCTCAATTGCTCAACTCATTTAGTTTTTTTTTCACACCTTTTGACGGAAGAAAAATTGTGATGATAAAATCACCGCAACGAAACTAATAGCAAAAAAATTCCAATAATTGTTTTTTTGTCAGTTACATTTTTTAATGAAACGACAAATCGAAAATATTTTGGATTTTTCAATCAATGCTTTTTTTAATTGGTTCAACCTTTTGAATGAATGAAGACAGCGAAGTACTCAAAAACAAATTGCATAAGAGTAAAATCAAGGATGAAAGCTGTAAAAAATTTTTACTCAGTTGGTCAACTCAATCATCGGTTTTGATGAGAGAAGAGAAAAAAACTTAACCGGTTGCTAAATAGCACAGAAAACTCCAAGCAAATGAAAAAAAAAATGAAAAAGTTTATTCATATTTTCAAAAATTTTGCCATTTATTCAACGTGATGCGATAAGAGGAGAGGCGGAAACCTAGAATTTTAGTAAATAAATCACGCAAAACAAACAGTGAATAACTTTTATTGCAAAGAAACGCTGAATGAAACTTGAAAAAAAAAGTACAACTAAGTTTGTCGAGTTGAAAACCCGTATAAAATTAATTTTGACTAAAACGCAAATATTTTAATCTTGTTTTCACGACACTGATACAACTAGTTGACAATTTTCTAAGGTCGTTCGAAGCTTAATTTAAAAAGTTTCAATATCATATACCACTCAAACAATTTTATTGATTACATGTGACAGTTACTGTTGCGTAGAAAAAATTTAAAAACCTAAAATATATCCAAAAACAAAAATCCTCCCCACTTACAGTGGTCGGAACAAAAAAACTTATAGAACAATTGTAGCAAAAAAAATTCAAAAACCATTAGTTTCTTACTGGTAGAGAAAAGCAGCGATACCAAATACACAAAAAATCAATTGAAAAAACAATTAAAATTGTTTTGATGCAGATAAACAGATTGTTGATTCGGCTTAGAAGAAGATGAAATATTATTTGTTTTAGAAGTGGTTTGTTTTTTATTCAGACATTTTTTGGCTTTTTGGTTAATTACTTTTGATGAAATTGTTTTCATAATATCTGAAAACTCAAACGTTTTGAATTGCAAAATTCAATGAACAAAAAACTTTCTATTTTCCGACAATTTATTCAAAAAAGTTTTTTATTACCAAGTTGTATTAATTGGGCCTTTGTTTTGATACGAGCGGTCTTTTTGACTGCTCATGTGAAGGCAAACCAAAGACATGAAAGATCTGACTGCGCTATATTGCGTCTGAAATAGTTTTAGTTTTTAAAAAAATAAGGTAATTTAAAAAAAAATCAACAAGGAAATTTTTTTCTTCCACCTCACGAATCAAACAAAACATGAAAACTGTTCATGTTCTTGTTGCGGCTTACATTGCGATTGTTATTGGTAAACTGTTTAGTAAGAAAAATCCGAATACACCCAATAAAAGGCTTTCCTTATAGTCGCTCATGAGCAATTTTTATGATGAAGATAAATAATAAATTGTCATCCGTTACATTGGTCACGTGCTAATTTTTCAAATAAAAATGACCAACAAATCGGAACGGTTTGGGTCTAAAAGCAGTTGACATTTATTTTTTTCTTTTTAAGTTTTTGAGATTAGTGCGCGCGACTGATAAATCATTGTTTTTTGGTCAGAATTTTTGGCATTTTTGGCACATAGTCGTTTTTTTTAATCATTTTTGGTCCGCTTTCTAAAAAAGTAGATTTCTAAAATAATTTCAGTCAAATTCTATTTGCTTAATAGTAGATTGAGCTGAGTGAATCATTTATGGCAAGAAAAAGAGATAAGAGTAAGCTGAGGACGCATTTTGTTTCGTAGCGTTACACTTTTTGAAAAAGGGCATTAAATAATTGATTCTGTTTTCGCAGCTTGAACAGGAAAAAAAGAACTGTGATTACCTGGCTGAAAATAAAACGGAGAGAATGATTGCAAACTAGTCTTTGTTGGGGGTCAGATAAAGACTCAAAATTACCAACGACAAAAATTGTCAGCCCAATTTAATGCAAAATGATAGCGGGTCGACACTAAAACAGACGACTTTGTCTGTAAATAGTTAACTAATTAGAGAAATATGGCGTTGCTCCAGGTTGTTCTTTTTGTAAAATAATTATTTAAGTAATTATAGGCAAAAACTCTCTCAAAAATAAGTTCATCTCAAAAATGCAAAAATTTTGAAATTGGAAAAATTGACTTTGCGTTCAGAAAATGAAAAGCAGATTTAAGATGGCTTGAGTTGGATTAAACGCTAAATCAGATGGTAACACTTTAAAATTTCAATTCGAATTTAGCGTATCAGTTTTATGGGAAAAATATCAGGAACTTCAATCAACCATACCGACCCGAAATTTTCAAATGTATTCTTTTCTTTAAAATACGAAATTAATTCAAAAACATTTTATAGCCCAATAAATCTAACAAATAGAAGCGTCTTAAGCAGAAGTGACTCCAAAATTAGTTTTGTTGACAGTAATCTGACAAAATAGAGATTGAAAATGGGACCGTAGGCGACAAATTTCCGTCTTAAATTAAGAGAAAGCTCCTTTGAGATGCTGATACGAGTATGACATTTAACAAATAAAAACATATGCGATTTCTGCCCCGTCGGCACCGCACAGTCTTGTTAGCCGATAATAAAAATGGTACTTGTCAATTAAAAACAATTCAAATATAAACTTCGTGGCTCCTTGCACTTTGATTAAAACGGTCGCAACAAGAAAAGCAGGCGTCGAATTTAAACTCGAAGATAATAAAAAAAAAGGAAATAAAAGATGTTATAAAAAACCTCAAAAGAATCAAGTCAAAAAAATAGAGTCGAAG